GTGTCATTTGTCGCCCCCCGTACTCCACAAACAAATGACTTGAAACTGGGTACTCAAAAAAATTAATGTACAAAACTGTCACCTTTGCAGGTAGAAGATGAAGGGATATATCATCTAACAAAACATTGCACCAAACTTCACACAATCAACTTACACAGCTGTGAGGTACAGTGGTTATTTCTGAGAATAAGATGGTAATTTATTTTGCAAAATTGTCAATTTTGAAAGTTGGGTTGCACTGCACTTTCAGTTTGATTGTATGATACCCAACTTTTGGCATGGGGATATTACTTGCCTGATAAATTGTAGTCAGAGGATCTTTCAGGTCAGCAGTTTTAATGCCATTCTGTCTTATACTAATATCTATAATCTGTTAGTATGATAGAAGGCTTGTTTTAAGTCATTTTCAACAGCAGTTGTTTTGATTCATAGTTATTCTCTCAACATTGTTCTTGTTTAGAATATAAAAGATAATGCTGTAAAGGCAATTGGTGAACATTGTTGGGAGATTTCGTTTCTGTGTGTATCTGGCTGTATACAGCTGACAGATGTGGCGCTTCAGCATCTGGGAAGTAACAGCCATAGGCTGAGGTGAGAGAGGTCACAGCTATGTATGAGCATGATTGGATACACATATTGAACTGTATTTATCAGTTTGCTATAGATGTACAAACATCTATAAACCAGGAAACTGTTGGCTTGGATTTTCAGACTGAGAAGCATGCCAAAAAGGATACATAGAAATCAGCTTGCAATCTAGTGAATATTTAATTAATTTAAAATCTCAAATTCACTATCTTTTGTTGAACATGTGAAAAAATACCTATTGACAGAGGCAAATAATTGATCAGTAATAGCCTCATTTCTCATCGGTCAACTAATTAGATAGTTATCTCCTAACATAAATGAATCTGTGGCTTTTTTACTCTGACTTGTTGTTCTCAGTTTTAACTTCTAAGCTCTCCTAACTGTATACCATAACGTTTTCAAATATGTAGTGGTCACTTGCAATCGGCAGTGTGGATAACTACATTTCAGAGATAAATCATAATGATTTTGCTCCTCTGTAATTTGCGTATTTTAGAGAAATGTTTCCTCGGTGGTCCATAGTCTTGGCTCTTATTTGCCACCCATGTTTCTGATGTTAGGGTGAATTAATACATCGGTGTTCTCTTTTATAAGATATTCCAAAATGGTCTCTCCACAGAACTTTAGAAGCTGCACAGTGTTCACAGTTTACAGATGCAGGTTTTCAAGCACTTTGTAGGGTAAGTGTGCATGAGCATATTTTGCTAATAAAAGTTTGCCTACAAATAAACATGCCACTCTTTGATCCTCTTTTTTAGCAGTGTTTAACAGACACATAAGAAAAATAATCCAGATGTCACATTATGCCCCAAAAGAGGTCTGATGTGCAATTTTCCTCCAAGATTTGTCATAGAGCACTTAACAACCAGGGGGGGCCCCTGTTACTCAGCTCGATTAGCTCTTTAGTTATTCTGAGTAAATGTTACCTCTCCTGTATTACTAGATTACGTTGTGAATTAAGTTTAACTTTTATTTTTGGTAATAAAGCTGTTGTTAACAAAGGCTATACTTCGTCAGAGAGACTACATACAGTAATGAGCTAATAATTATGTGCCAGCCTCTCAGTTTTTTGGGGGTTCAGAATATTATTTCAGCCACTGAGATTTCACAGTGCTCATAGATTTGGTGTCTTTTTCACAAACACAATTCTAAGCAAATTTTTAAGCACAAATTTCAGTATGTCAGTTATGAGAAGAGTTGAACTATTTCAATTCTGTTTTAGGGTTGTCATAATCTTCAACGCATGGACTTAGAAGAGTGTGTTTTGGTAAGCTTATTTGATCATTTTGATTTGAAATATGGCTTTCATATCACAATACAAGTGTGGGTTCAACAAGAATTTAAAAAAAAAAACTAACATCTTGTTTATGGTTTGTGCCTACTGACAAAATACAGCTTGGTACAAATCAGCTACAAAAAATTAATGAATATGTAGCTAACTTTTTTCTTATGATGTGACCATGACAGATTGCCACTCGGTTTTACAGAATCTTGTACTGACATAAGAGCATAATTCTCTTCCCAAATAAGCAGAAGGGAAGTACTATTCTCGAAAATTTTCCGAAACCCCCCGATTATTTCTCGAACGGTTCCGAACTTCCCGGAACTCGACCCGAACCTCGACCCGAACCTCGAGCTCAGACATTTTCGCGAATCGAGAATCAAAGATTGAGTTTCGAGGGGTTGTTAAATTACGTTTGGCCTTCAGTTAGGAACTGCTTCATGCATTAACTTTCTTTATATATATCTCCTTTAGATCACAGACTCGACTTTGACTCACTTATCACTCTGGTGTTCTGGTTTAGAAAAACTTGTAAGTTTCTTGTTTACTTTGATCAAAGATAGTATCTGAGCCACTGCGCACCTACTCCTCCCCTGATTGAACAACAGTCCATTGATAAAAAGTAAGGGTTCAGGGTGAGTTAGGGGAGGGGTGGGTGCGCAGTTCCTTAGATACCAACTCTGATGCTTGCTTACTTACTTTTCCGTAAGTCTGCCATTTACAATCAGCTTAAGTCAGCCTTGAGAAGGACAAACTAATTTTGTAACCTTCTAAGTTAACTAATCATATTAAATTTAAGAAAAATCATGTGCGTGTCGTTTTCAAGTTTTCAAAATAGCCTGGTTAGCAAGTGTTTTTCAGCAGGACGGGTTTCCGGGCAAATGCCCGCCCCGCTCCCAGGACAGCTTGTTGATGTTTTATTCTTGACGCCTCAACACCAATACGCATATTCTCCATTCTATTCTCTACACATTTTCTGAGGTGCTGACAAGGAGAATTGGTTGAACAATCTAGAGATTCTTTAGTTGGCGATCATTGCCTTTATTCTTTTTTACTTTTAACGTGTGACCCAGGGGTCATATTGTAAAGAGAAATTAGATGCTAGTCACTCTAACGGACGAAGGATTATTTGGGGATTTTGATGGGATTCGAAGGCCTAACGAAATGGGCTGAGTAATGAACTTAGTGTCACTGGTTTGCTCCTTACAGAGCCTTTCCCATTGCGAGCTTATAACAGACGAGGGCATTAGACAATTAGGTGGCAGTCCCTGTGCTGTAGATCACATTGAGGTCCTGGAATTGGATAACTGCCCCCTTATCACAGACAATGCCCTGGACTATTTAATGTAAGTAAACGCTGAAGTGCATTTTGTACAAAACTCGTTCAAAAGATAGGTTTATCGATCGGAATTGTGTCACTTGGAATAATTGTCAAGTTTTACGGTGCTCGTTTTTCTGCGGTGAAGTGGTGTGTGTCTGTGGAAACTTCAATTGTTGTGGAGGAGCTTTGGGTGACAATCAAACTGAACTGAGCCTGGCACTCGCGTAAGTTTTTTCGTAAAGACAGCAAAATGAGATAAATTTGTAAAAACTCCGCATAAAGTGAATCGTGACGTGTCATTTGTCGGCTGTGAAGAAAATTGCTGGAAGAGGAATAAGGCGCGGAATAACAAGGAATTAGCAGTGTAGATTCATTGTTTAAAAGGTCTTCTTTCGTCTTGTTAATTACAGAAACTGCCACGAACTGAAGAGAATAGAACTTTACGATTGCCAGTTGATCACCAGAGCGGGAATAAGAAAACTTAAGGTTAGTTTGTTTTGATCGCGCAAGATTACCCATTACATGCTATCTTTTGAAGATATTAGAAACTGAAGAAAAACAGTTAGGTTGCGTAGCGACTTAAAAAAGATTTGTTTAAGGAAAGAAGTCATTTTAGCCAACTCGTGGTCACAGCAGTAAGCGCCCTCAATTCAGTCACGCAAGCGGCGTCTGACGCTGTTTTTTTGTTGTTGTTTTTTTTGTTCCTTTCAGGCGCATCTACCGGACTTAAAGGTTCACGCATACTTCGCCCCTGTCACCCCTCCCCCGAGTGTTGGTGGTGGACGACAGAGAATGTGTCGATGCTGTGTGGTATTATAGTATAATTTCTTAACGTCCTGTAGCTTTCGCTACATACAGTATCAATCATGTCCTCGTACTTAACCTAATTTGCCTTTTAAAAGTTGTTTTGGTTTGAGTTTCTGTATGTAGGGTCCATGGTTCCTCTGCTGCCTTGTCTTTCTTTTGTTTGGTCTTTAACTCTTTCTTATTTTCTTCCTCCATCTTTCTTTCCTTTTTGTATCCCTTTCTTTCCTCATTTCTTGCCTTTTTTCTTCCTGGTACATTCTTCTTTCCCCAGTTCACTCTCCTCCTTCTCCTCCTGGCATCTGCTTCTCTCCTATCTTCCGTCCCCTTCTTTGCTTCTCTTTCTTTCCCCCTTGTACCCGTCTCCCCTCTTTTTTACCCCGATATCTCCCTCTTGTTTTCCACTTTCCTTCCTATTCTAAAGTTAGGTTCTTATTTGAGTGTTGTTAGTCGATAGTCTTGCATTAGAGGAAAAAAAAAGAAAGAAAAGTGATTTAAATGTACCCATTAACCAGAGGCACGAAGCCTAAATTCAATGACGGGTTATGGTTAACGTGCGTAGAGATTGTATTTGCTAGAAGTATTTTAAATCCAGCGAAAGGAAAATTTCCACTAACAGAATTTTAATGCAATTAACCGTTTCATTTTCAAGCCATTTTAAATATTGCCAGAGCAAATGTAAATATAGCGGTCTTCATAGGCGCTTTAAGTAATTGCTGAATTAATCAATCGCAGGAATCGATTTTTCTCCAATGTGGTGGTGATTTTAAGGCAATTTTGTTTATATTGTTAATATAAAAGGGCCATTTTAATAATTACTGTATATAAAACCGAACGGTCTTCGTAATGATCTAATTTATTTAATTCTTAACTTGCCGAACTCGCCACGGGCTTCTGGGCCCGATGCTGGATCGCTGTGTAGATAATCTTTTCCTCTGATCTTGTAGTTTTTGTTGTTATAGTTGTGGCTGTTGCTGTTTTGTTTTATGACGAAAAAAAAAATGCCATCGTTAAAGAAAATGGTTTGGTTGGGTAACTGCTTTTCTTTTGATCCCTTCGTCGGCAAACTCATTCTCCTGGTATTCTCGACCTTTTTTCCGTTTGCCTCGACATACCAACCTAGGAAGGCCCTACGATAATTGTATTCCTCGATGTAAAGTTCTGAAGTCATGCCTTTCTTGGTGTTGAAATAGGTTTAATTTCCATTTACTTATTATTCTTGTTGCCTATACTACCTTCACGTATTACGCAACGTGGTGATCGTAACACAACAGTAATTCTTATAGGACTGCGTGTGGAAATCGATTTGTAACGGCCCAGTTAGTTCATAACAGACTGGCTTGCAAGGAAATATCATTGTGTAACGGCCCAGTTAGTTAATAACAGACTGAAAAGTTGACTGGCATTTAATTGCTCTGTAGTGAAGGATTACGCTATATTGCGCGACGAAGTTGTATCTGATTTTAGGAACAAAAAGCTGTTTGGAAATTACATCTCTTTAAGTTTTCTTGAATTTCAACTTTACGCGGATGATGGTCTGTGACCCTTATCAGCCCCAATCCCCTGCCGGTCAGGAAGGGTCTAGTGTCACCATAGCTTAAACAGATATGTTCAGAGCTTTTAAAGCCAGTTCAGCGAGGTTTTTACATACCTATTCGTGCAACTGTATGGCTTAACCCCTCTAGTCTCAGAAGAGACCCGTAGGCAACTTCTCCTGACCACATTTTACCTAAGAGAAGAACTTCAAACAAATGAACTCCTGCAGGATGTAATATGAAATTCTCAGAACGTAACCAACAAGGAGAATCAGCTTTCTGATCTCGGAGGTGGAGGGGTTAATTACTTCATACCGTTTGCTCTGATGATAGTGACTTTTTAAACAGTGTTCATGCTTGACATTATGGTACAGAGTTTATTTCTTGGCTCACCGTGAAGTTTTTGCTTTTAATCGTGATCGGAAATAGGGGAATAAACTGATAAAAATAAAAATAAGGTAAAACTACAACAACCTGTGGTGAAGTCTGTTATGGTGTGTTACCTGTCGCGAAACAAAGACGCCGTGACGTAATGGCTAGTACGCTCAAATCCGGGTCGAGGGGTCTGGTTTTGGGACCTGGGGTTCGTTTCTTAAAAGTTCCGGTAAATTAACGAAATTTAAAGAATGGAGAAGCAGGCTCTGGCTCCTTGACGAGTCCATTTTGTCTCTTTAGCCTATAGTTTTATGTAAGATTTTCAAAATTTCTTAAACCCTCATCTTGAATGGAAACATAACAACTTTGCGAGGACTTTTGAGGAACGTTCCCCGGGGCGGATGGATGTGGTGTTTTAATAGGTAAAGTGGTCTATTCCCACTATTTCGTTGGTCAGTTAGCAACAACCCAGCCCAGGAAAATAGATGGGTACTGGTGAATTGTCAGGGTAGCCTAATAAAACCCAGGGGGGGGAGGGGGAAGCCACCTTGCGATAGACTAGCATCCCACCCAGGAGGGAGGAGAGATATTCCTAGTCATTTCATGGTAAGCAACACGGGATACATGTAAGTTCCTGTGGGGTGAGACACAGACTTTACCCTAGTTACCATGCTTCTCGCGAAAACGGTTGTCGGTGGAATGCGTACATCAAGATGTTTCAGTGCCGCTCAGACCCAGCTAAAAATGTTACCACAGCCCGTAAGACTTCTAATGATGTCGGTGAAATGTTAAGTGTCACACTGAATCATAGAATTGGAAATTGTGGGGATCTTACAGTGCGGATATCGTTTCAATTTATTAGCATTCACGAGAATACCTCGCGCCTTGAAATCTTTCCCGCTTGAGGGATGAAGAGCATACATGTCACTCGCAGTCCAGAACTAAAGGAATCCTGGTGCACTCTCCAGTTGACAGTGGTTGATTTTCTAAGCTGAAATTGCGTGACTTGTACTTAAATAGTCGAAACTGGCTTTATGTAAACGCTGTGTTCGTATGTGACACCTTAACGCGAGCAAAAGAAGTGTAATTTGAGTTTAAAGAGAATTAACACCGCCCCCATATGGCAAAACCTTCCTAGAATTGTTCCTGATTGGCCTAAAAGACAGCATGCGTTGGTCGAAATTCCGTGAGTTTCCGCTGTCTTTTTTTTCTACTGTACAGACTGCGTTGCGCAACAAACTGAACCTAAATCTATTTCTAATATTTTATTGATGACGAGATTGCAGGTGGCTGTTTCGCATGCAGACAAATACAAGCCGAAAACCTTAGCTTAGTCGTCCGGTAAAAAACCACAATCTTGAGTAACAGAATTATTTAAAGCCTCTTCCTTTAATTTTTCGATACATAATTATTTGATGTAGGTACAGTTCCCCGATAGACCCTTCCCTATTTGTTAATGCCTAAAACTTTTTCGTTTATTATGCCTTTTGACAAATTAAAATAACATCCTGCAGGGATCAATTCGTACAAGTTAGGACTCTTTTCTCCCGGGGTGACAAAAAAACAATTTTTCTGCAAGAAATACCTAAATGTCCTTCACAAAAATGTGCTTAAAAAAAGTCCTCCTCCAGGTAGGCGTAATATTGAGCATATGTTTTAAAAAAAATCTAAAAACATATTGTGACGATAAGTTTTCCGCGAGGGAAAACTGAAATCTCGCGGAAGGCGCAACAATAATGGGAGGAAACTAGCTCTGTAGAGACGACTCGGCAGCGAGAACGGGAACTCGTCATGATTCCCTGGTACTAGCGACCTCTTCGAGCGAGTTTTTACGCACGTCAATGAGGAGACAGTCTTTTGGTTCCACAGTAACCTTTACTCTAGGCCAGGCCAACAACTGACATTACCTCTAGCCCCTTCAGTTTAGTAATCTGAAAACCTTTACAAAGTACTTACTTAAATATTGAACTGGTGTGAGGTTTTATTGTCAAATTGACAATATTTACTAAAGAACTTTAAAACTTCTCTTTGAAGCTAAATGATTTATACTGAAATATTCGAAAATGAAAGAGCAGGCTCAAACTTTAGACCATTAAAAATAGGAAACTTAGGTGAGAATTCACAGCTTTGATATTGAAAATTTACCCATGGTAACCACAACATTACATATTTACATTGATATAACGCAGATTTCTATTTAAACAATAGAGTGTTTCTGTCGAGGAATTATCGGCTGATAGTTGCCCCGCGGAAATTTGATGTTTTTAAAACAAATATTTGCCCGAGAAGCGAAGCTTCGAGGGCAAATATGCTACAGTTATGCACAAATGAGGACTTGTCTCTACTTGCTAAATGGCTAAACTGCAACTACTTAAAAGTCAACTCAACCAAGACACAAGCCATGGTCCTTGGATCGTCAAATTACAACTTTGACCTATCATTGGACAATAGCAATATCGAAATAAAGGACGAACTCAAATTGCTTGGTGTGACAATTGACAGTAAATTACCATACACTACTCATATTAAGAATATCATTAATAAAATACATGCCAAAGCTGGTGCTCTTAGAAGAATACGCAACTTTATCGATAGTAAAACTGCTGTGAGAATATATAAAGCCTATATACTTCCTCATTTTGATTATTGTTCTCCTCTTTTTGTTGGGCGATCAAGCACCTTATCTGATAAAATTGAACGTGCACATTTTTATTTACTTAGAACATTATTTAAATTTCCTAAATCAATTGAGTATGCTGAGTTATTAAGTCAGCTTAATCTTGAATCTATTAAACAGAGACGATTGTCTCAATCACTAGTTTTTATATTCAAGGGATATCTTAGTGAAGGACCAATTTATATAAACAACTTATTTAAAATCAAACAGTGTAGATATAACCTTAGGGGTAGTGGATCCCGTATGGATTAACCGGCTCCCAAATCTCGTTTTGGGC